GACAGTTCAAACATTTTTAGAACATAGGGCATCATGAATCGATTCAAGATCACCCGTGTCTGTTGAGGAAACTTTTAATCGGCGAGACCAGTTCGTTCAGAGAAAAGAAAACTAATGGAGAGATTGTACAACACACCCGATTAGTAGCCGTTGCAGTTGCACCTTCAAATGCTTCTTAACAGGCCGTGACACGCCGTCATTTATCTTGTTGGGTCGCTCAATGGAACTATCGTGGGAGGGCGAGGACCGGAAGCAGTTCGCATAACTGGACGGAAAGCAAGCGGATTGGCCCTCGCCACGGGCCGAGGAAGGTATAAAAGAAGACAGTCCGAACGAAGGATATCGAACAGTCATTTTCGAGTACGTTGTTGTCAATAATAAAGGCCGTCGCTCTTAAACTAGGTACGTGGCTATCTGCATGTCATGATCACACATCCTCGGAATGCTGAATGTGAAGTCTCCGGACCGATAGACCCCCAGTGAGGTGTATTAAACGCTGAAAAGCTTTTGTAAATCACAGCACATGCCATCGAGAAATACTTTGTATAAAATTTAAACGGATATCAGCTCTTGAATCATGCCTTGCTTAAACACACCATCCCGATTAAGCATCAAGTTAGCCGCAGGAAGCAGTGCAGTGCGCCATGCAGCAAAGTTTGGATCACTTATTTTCTCACTGACACCCTGCAACTTAACAAGTCATACTTTTGCTATGTAGCGAATGGACAAGAGATCTAAGGAACCTGAAAATCGCAATAAGGAGTTCTGAAATTTAATTAATCACTGCACTTGCCTTCTCTTCGAATGCTGTAGGAGTTTTAGCTCTTCGAAATGGAAGAATCCAGTGATGGCTCCGGACAGCCGGGTGGTAAGCAATTTCGTTCGCGTCGTTCCTACTGTCGTTGCTAATGTCTTTGCCGTACGGACGGCGGTCGGATGTTGCTGACGTGCCGCCACCACTGGAACCCTTGAACGACTTGAACGAGTCTGATCCGTTGGTGGTTTCGTCGCCGAAATACACATTCGGTCTCGGCTCGTATTCCGCGTATTTTAGGTCTTGCAGACTCTTCCATTGAGGTACGTTTGAGTTGGCTGTCTTCCAGCGGTAGTGCGCGTTGTCGCAGGTGGTACCGACCCGATGGAGGGCCTCTCGGGCTGCCTGAAGCTTCGCTGCCGGAAGTAGCGTGTCCTGCTTAACTGCGGAGGGCCGAGTGCTTGCCTGTGGCGCAGGAAGGGGGCTCGGCTGTTTGTCTGGAAAGTTTTCGAAGATGCGCTCCTCGCGAGGTGACCGGGCCGATAACATGAAGTCTGACGCCTTGGAATCGGTGGATGAACTGGCACGGTGCTTCAGGAAATGGCTGCCCTTTTTAGGCGAATAAACTTCGTACCTGCTCGCCACGTCTTCATTGGTTTCCGCAAATTGGGTGGAGTCCCTCAGGTCCTCGTAGAACGGGTTCCGATCGATAAGCCCGCTGCGGTTTCCGTTACACGCTTCACTCTTGATTCCGCCCATTTCTGAGCCGCACTCGACGTTTTCTGGGAAAGCGACACTCCACCTGCGTGGTTCTTGCTGTCTGTCTTTCTTTCCTTTCCAAAAATGAGTGGGGAACATCTAAATATGCCATCGGAAAATTTTTTGCAAGTTGAACCATTGGAACGTTAGAAAACACATTAATGCAAATCTACCTTGCGGAAATCTTCTTTGTAATATTTGGTAAATCTCGTTGGCCTTTCAGCTCTGTACTGGTTTCGTGCCGGAGTGTTTTGAAGCAGAGTCAGCGGCAGTCGCGTCTCCTTCCATGCAAGCACTTCCGTTTTCAGCGCCTCAAGCTCTTCGTATTGGCTGAA